CCCCAAAACCCCAAAACCCCAAAACCCCTGAAATTGGAATTTTTAAAGAAAAAAAGAATGATTTAAGATTAAAAATAAATTCAAGAACTAAAATATCTACTAAGGGTTAATCCTGATTAATTTAGACATTTGTTCTTAATTTAAAATTAATTAATAGCCAAATGCCAATACTAACTTTCTTTGAAAATGCTTACACTTTAGGAAAAACAGCCTATTACCTATTTTAATCTGCGGAAATCATTCTTAAGATGAACAAATATGTTGTTATGGGCTTTACTCTTTATGGTGTCTGGAGAGTTTTCAAAAATTTTATCTATTTTCCACTAAAAGAAGTCTTCTTATTTTTGTACCAGAATACGAGACCATTATCAAATCTAATTTACACTTATGGGGAAGGAAAGATTATCATAACTGGTGCTACTAGAGGTCTTGGCCCAGCCTATTGTGAATCACTAATAAAAGCAGGATTCCGAGACTTTTTATTGATTGATTATGATTACAAAGACTTATAATCACTTTAAACTCAGCTTCAAGAATATCAACTAAAATTAATTGAAATTAAGAAGAAGCAAAAATAAAATATCTAAACTAGTAAGTGAGATCAATTATAATATTACAGTATTGAATTTTTTTATAGAAAATGAAAAGCTGTTGATAGAGCTCTTTGGATTCAATTTTAATTAAGAAGATAACTCTGAATAAATAAGAGAACTAGGTGCTATAATTAACAGATAAGACAATAATGATAATAAATAAAAAAATATCTCCATCTTAATTAATAATAATAACAAAATAATGAAGACACCATTTTAGTAATCTGGTGATAAAGGTATTAATAAACTAATAAATAACAATATTAAGTCAGTTACTTCAATCCTTAATCTGGTTCTTGAATAAATGATCAAGCAAAAATCTAAATGTGCTATTGTTAATGTCAGCTCTGCAACTGCTGCAGCTGAAATTTCTTCCATAGAGAAATTTACAATAAATGATTACTAAGTTTATCAGGCATCTCTAGCTTACTAATGCTCGTTGATGAATCTTTTGCAGTCTTAGTATAAAGAAATAGATTTCTTGAACGATATGCCTTACACATTTGATATCTCAGATAAGAATATTAAAGATCTTGGAATGAAAGTATTACCTGAGGCCCATGTAGAATTAGTATTGAAGTCACTTGGCAAATAATAGATATGCAATGGTACTCTAAGACACAGATTTTGGCTATATATGATGAAAAACTATAATTTTCCTTTTTAACCAGCTTTAAGGTGAATATTATTGTGACAAACTAAATTTATCAATAGATTTTTTAATGTTTTAATTAGCCTAACAAAATATAAATTCAAATTCAAGGGGTTTTGGGGTTTTGGGGTTTTGGGG